CAAGGGAGTGGAGAAGAAACAGATTCCGAAAGTTGGCAGAGAACCGCAAGTTGGCTAATTATTTTCAAGTGCCTTGTGGTTAAAATTAACTTTTTTAATAGGGAAGCACAATAAATTGTCACCATGTTGCTTATCAGCCAATATTAGAGATTTTCTTCATTTATTTTGTATTCATTCTATTTTTATTTAGACTAACTTAGCCATCATCAAACTTCTACTTAAAGTACATCTTTAACACTAATAATTTAATAACATCGTTAAATGCAATCTTAAGCACATCTCAAAAAGAATTTACATATTTGTGTCCAAATATGAATACATTTTGGTAACAGTTTAGAATAGGGATCAATTCTCACTATTAACTACAGTTGTTGCTTATTAGCATGCCTAATATTAACATACTGGCTGTTTATTAGTACTATTAGTAAATATTCTGCATGACCATATTCTACATCCTTAATTCTACCCAATACCTAAACTTAACAACTACCTTACTAACTATTAATAAGCAGCAAATTAGGAGTTTACTGAGGCAAAATCATAGTTAATGGTTTGTTAATGGCAAGAATTTGACCTTAAAATAAAGTGTGACCTACATTTTTTTTAAATATATTTTACATAATAATGTTGCAATGTTTCAATTCTTGTAGCATTTAAAACATCTGATTTAAAGTTTTAGGGTTTTATGTTTTGTTTATTTAGAGTAAATGATATAGAATTGTAATATTTACTGCTTTTTATTTACTGCTGCTGGGCAATATTTTGCATTTAAAATCCAGTCATTTCATAGGAATCCACACAATCAGAAGTTTCAAGTAAAAGTGGAATTTTTCCCAATGTAAATTGCATCAGGTTCAAGTTGGTCAAGTGAATTTGTTACATTGACCAATAGAAAGTTGCCTGGGGTATAATGGATTTTTTTTAATGTGACTGCACCTAAAAAAACAATATTGGCTCATCAGTATTGTCTAGAAAAAAAACTCCTTTTTTTCATTTTAAAACTCATTTTGTTTAAAAACACTTGAGAAACTTATTTTCACAATTGTTGTTAGCACTTCACATAAATCAAGAATATACGTGACAGTGCCAACCTGGAACTGACACATCTGGATCACTAACAAACAAACTTCACCAAGAGTCAGGAAGTAAGTTAGTTTTTCATCAGATTCAGTACATACTCTGAAAATACGGGAATTCATCTGTCTCTTTCTTCCTCTGCTTCTGTCCCTGACACACACACACACACACACAAACACCATGCTGAGCAACTGGTCTCTGATGGGCAGGGGAGAGCTGATTATGGATTCACTTTGCAGCAGGAGCCGCCCTGACGCTGGGGATTTGATTAGGGCTTTGACAGGTGCCAGTGAGATTGCAGCCTTAATCTGAGGAGTGATCTGCTTAGATAATGTGCAAAGAGGAAGAAAGAGACAGAGGTGGCAGGAAACGGGGGATGCAGGTAGTAGAGATACACTGAACGGCCTCATGACAGCAGAGCTTTACTTTTGATGTACTCACTAAATCTAAATCATATCACAGACAGCATGCTATCATAAGAGTGATACTTCATCTGATGCATCTTACAAATCCTGAGAAAGACACTGGAAACGAGTGCCTCTCACACTGCAGAATCTTTAAAACTCTTGGAGAATGGTAGAAATGCTCAGTTACTGTATGATACTGAGGAGAATGTAATGATGCCTTTGACTCCCATTGCCATCTTATATTCTCTCACATGTGCAGAGAACCTCCCTACAGGCTGCCGCAGTGTGAACCGGGTCAGTCACTGATGTCTCTATCATGACTGTCCCATCCTCTTTCCATACAGGAGATCTACTTGCATCATTGGATCACAGCAGAATTCTCTCATCTCTTTTCACCTGCTGTCAGGAATGGGGCTTTTCTCAGTCAATCACGAACAGAGCAGAGGTGGGCTTGATCTTGTTAACTTTATATTTAAGCAATGTCCCACAAGCAAGTGCTGTTGTACTGAATATCTCCTTAATATTGAAACTATACAGGAGCAGATATCGAGTGACGCACATTTCAGACAAAAGCTGGCCTGTTCTCCGCCAACACAAATGGTTCCAAAAAAAAAGCAAGTAAAGTATCAATCTTTGCACGTTGGCAAGCAACGTTCAGACTGGAATACAATATGTGAGCGGAATGGAGTGACAGTAATTTTCCCTCCCGGCTCAAATCATTCTGTAATCACTCCGCTTTACCTCCGCTCCGGGTTGCCCGTTTCCAGGCAAATCTGAAGCCAGAGAAAATACAGATACTGTAACTTTCAAAACTAAATACATAAATAAAAACCACAAGCAAAATCACAGCTCACATACACTGGTAAGAACACAGAGAACACATTCAAGCAGAGTCGTGTGTACTAAATATTAGGGGTCTTGGAACAACACTTCACTAATCAAGAGCTAGAGGGCCAAAACTGTATACATCATGATAGAGATTTTTATTTTATAGCTATTTTTCAAAATGTGTTATACTGTATATTGCATTACATTAAATTGCATTGTATACTGCATTTTTTCTTTCTTTTGGATAATCCATAATTAAAGGGGTGGTTGACTGCTTTTTTCTAGGCTTGATTGTGTTTGGTGCAGTCTAACATGTGTTAATGCTTTGTTGTTGTTTTTTAAATAACATCATTGGGATCATAACACCTAGTCCTATCATGCAAACTTAAAAAAAAAACCGCATTATTTTTCACATAATATACCTTTATTCTACACCGCTCTGTCCCTTCTCCGATGAATGCTCTGATGATTTCCCCTCCCGCAGAAATACACAATGGGCTCAGATTGGTTAGCTGGCCCAGTGTGTTGTGATTCGCTAAACCATCTCTAGTGCAGTTCAGAAACGTCACGCCCCTCGCCTCAGAATGCGCTCCGGCTGTATTGTAAACAATGGCGTCATTGATATTGCTTATCAGTTTGAGCCCAAATGAGACCCAGAGAATATTAGTGAAGAGGATCATGCAGAAACTGTGCAAACACGGCTCTTACAGGACGTTTCAGAATGGTATGTTTTTTTTGTTTGTTGTTGTCTCATACTTTTAGATACGCTGTTAGTTGTAAATGCTACTGCTTATGTTAGCTTTTAATATACGGGTTTATCCTGATTAAAGCTTTAACACAGCAGAATACATGATACAAAGTAATTGTTTACTTTGTAACAGTAAGAAGTGTTTGCCAGCAAGTATTGCTTGCTACCACGGCAACCGTGTGCACGTCCATGTTTAACACGTGTAGCTATGTGGAAAATATCTGTCTGTCTATACACATAAAGTGTATAATTGGAACACAGTTCACTGATGGAGCTGTGATGAGCTGATGATCTGAATAAAAGAGAGAGAAAGAGAGTGAGAGAGATGCAGAGCATGTGCAGAGCAGGGGACACGAGGAACAGGATTAAGAACCGCTGCTTTAGAACATTGATTTTGAAACTTGTGAATCCATTAGAATCGTTAGAAGACAGAATCACGATTCATATATGAATAGATTTTTTCGAGCACCCCTAGTTTTGACGGCATGGCAACAACTGTTCCTCTTCTGTAAAGCAGCGCAACATGGCCCCGCCCCCTTTGTTGCATGTTCCCCGGGGCGGGGTTTATGTAAATTTCAGGGTTTGTGATGTCACCAACCTGGGAAGTAGCTTGTTGTAGTCCCCACGAGCCGTAACTGTAGACATTAAACTGCCATAAGTTTAAAAGACAGTATCTAAGTTTGCATTGAACTTTCAGCGTTGTAACTTTGCAGATATTGTTTATGCTCAAACTGCAACGTTACACACTAACTAACATTTAACCACCCCTTTAAATATTTTGCTAGTGGAAGTTTTTCATCTCATTAGATTGATGCTGTTCATTTAAACTTTCTATTCATCAAAGTATCCTAAAAAACGTATCATGATTTCCATAGACATATTAAAGGGGTCATGACATGGATTTTTTTATTATTATTATGTTCCTTGAGGTTTGCTCATAACGCTAATAAAGTTTTTTTGCATAATAAATAAATAAATAAATAAATAACTATGTGGAAAAATTATTATAATTTTATTATTATTATTCAACCCTCATTATGACCCTCTAAAATTATTTGTTTTTAAGGGGAGGGTTCTTTAAGGCGTCTCAGTAATCGGCCACTGTTATGGTTGGCTAACTTAATAGCGTAGGAAACAGTATCAACGCCCCCTCGCTATTGCATGTGAGTGCTTTGACACCATAATCAAAATAAAACAGTCATTTACAGACAAAGCATTTGGAAAATTATTTACTTACGGTTTGTGATGCAGCTGCAGTCAGATATAGTACCGCTTCATCTTTTCAACAAACGTTTCTTTAGCTGCATTTACACTGGCACAAAAAATATGATTTTTTCTTTTTTGCTCACATCTGACACAGATCGGAATTTGTTGCACACGTTTAAACACAAAAATCCACACAAGATCTGCTTTTTTCACATCCGATCTGGGCCACTTCCAAATGTGGATTTTAGTCAGATACATATCCGATATCTGGACATCTGACCTACGTCTAAACACACATATCTGATTCCCCGCAGAACTCCTAATGCGAGGGCGACACGTACTGCCCATAAAGATAGAGTTTTAATGCCAGCATGCTATATATGCTTGCATTTTATTGAGGCGGGAACTTCATATGTAAGAGACTTGGAAGATCCAGGACATTTTTTTAATGTAACTCCAATTGTATTCATCTGAAAGAAGAAAGTGTACACCTGGGATGGCTTGAGGGTGAGTAAATCATGAGGTAATTTTCATTTTGGGTGAACTTTTCCTTTAATATTGTATCTGTACTTTTTATTAAATACTCTAGTTCAGCATTGGCGAGTATAAAACACTTACTATTATTATAATACAATACCTTAATTATATAATTACATAATCTATGTATATGTATATTGCTGCCAAACCCTATAGCAGATACAGAAAACAAAGCAGGATTTAATGTTAGAACTCACCAACACAGAGACCGTCACTCTCCTCATAGCCTATGCTGCAGACACAACGGCCCAGCGGCACCAGCCAATCACCATCAGCTCCACAGTACAGCCTAGGTGTGTCACGTTCCTCAGCGTTCTCAACACACGCTCCCCTGACCTCCACCAGTGAAGACGAATCCACCCGCGGTACAGTGTCAGGGAAGGCTGCAAGGTTTCTCAGGGTAGACGGGCACTTTTTGTAATAAACTCTCACAGACACCAGGGCGATACATGCGCCCACGTCCTGGAAGGCCAAGTAGAAACCCTTACGAGCTATTGGGCCCACTTCTCGCACTTCGGTATTCAGCCTCAGAACACGGTCGCCCAGATCTGTCTGTGTGAAGCTTTCGTCGGCGGCTATGGTATCGATTTTGGCGTAGTCGTTGGTATGGAAATGAGCAGTGGCACCATGCGGCTCATCTGTCTCAAAGTAGAGGAGGTTAAAAGTCTCCTTACAGGTGCCAGAGACCCAGGGGATGCTGTTGCAGTCCCGCAGGGTGAAGCGAAGCTCCACGTAGATCTTCTGTGCAGCCTGACGGGGAATCCAGTTTGTACGAAGCCAGTTGTTCTGGTTGGGTTCCATTACGTGGCACACCTGGAAGGTGTGGATGGGACGGTTATGCTCATCCATCTCCGTGATGGCGTCCCACTGTGGAGAGCAAAGGACAGAGGAATGAGAAGATAGATAGTGGGATAATTGGAGAAAGCAATAGAAAGGAGTGAATCCTCGGGAAGGGCAATGTTCTTGTTGAGTTCTTCAGAGCAGCTGCTGGAGCCCAGAGAAATCAAACAGAATTTAGCTTAATCAAATTAGCATAAGAAAAACTGTAAATTGAAACACTGGCTATGTTTACATGCACACCTAATAATTCATTAATTTAAAGTCATAATTACATGTTTATCACATTCAAGTGCTGTCTTGTTGGAAAGAATAGGAATCATGGAGGACAGCAGTTTCATTCTTGCCTATTGCTTGGGGAAATCTAATTAAAGCCAAAATGAATTGCAGATATTTAATCAATATCCAACAGATTTTGAATAAAATGTAGCATTCCCATACAGTGACAATCAAATAAACATTACCACGCTATCTAGCTGACAATTTTTTGTCATTCATATAATATACATTAAATGGATACACTTGAATATACATAACTGTAAATGAAAAAAAAATAGGCCTAACTTAAACTTAAGTCAATAAAAAAATAGTTCTGTCCTCCACCATGTTAAAAGTTCATGGCCCACCCAACTCGGAAACACGGGTATCAAATTAATCTCAAAGTTTCCCACTTAAAAAAAATAAATATAACATTTTTGAAATTAAAAAAAAAAAACACTTTAAAATTTGAAAGGCTGTTTATGTCTGATTTCTGACTAGGAAACTCTTGTTTATTATAATTATAGCAAGTAAAAGCAGCAACTAAAAAAAAAGTTACTGCACAAATTTGTTTATTTACATCAATGTTTTGCAACTCTCTACAACCCATCTTTTCTATGTACTTTCTTCCAGAGAGATCTTGTTATCGTTGGAGGATAGCCACATGAGAAGAAGGTTTACTTGGAATATTTTTTGAGAAAAAAAAAAGGCAAAACGCTAATTATACACTGGGGTGCCATCTCTGACAGGACCACTGACAGCTCACAAGCTTCTCACTGCATGTGTGGAATACATGCGACGAACATGTAAATTCACTTTTTGGATTGCAGAGTTTTGGATATACAGTAGATTCTGAATCTGTCAATTGGAATCTGTCAATCAGTTGGATTGAACTGATTTGGTTTGACATGTCTCTAACTACTAATTAACGTTCCCAAAATAAATAATTCATCTCCATGATAAATGGCATGTAGAACTTGAATTCCTAACCCACAGTATAACTTGAATTAAGACACTGGGTCTCATAAACTTGACATCTGACACTCCATATAAACATGAATTTGTTCTTAACATTGTTCTAATGTTTACAAATTTGGATTATTCTAAATAAGCATGTTAGGGTTAGCCAATTTATATAAGGGCTTTTTGCACAACCTTTCATTTACAGTATTTTTAGCAAACATATGACGATCTCTAAAAACGCACTCTCTTCTGAGAGATGCGCAGCAAGATCTTTGAGCAATGCCAAGTGTGCAATAATTAAATATAGTTCAAACACCTTTAATACATCTCGTTGCATACACATACATGTATCTGTTGTTATACAGAGAAACTTCGCAGCTTGATGATGTGATATGATTTTCTCAGCTTTTTGTTCAAATTGTTGCATTCTTTTTATGAAACCTACCCACATTCAAGCTGATTTTTTTTTTCAAGTTTATTGTTGATTTGTTCATTTATTTTATTTTATTTTTTAATCTTTCTTTTGACATATTGCATTCATACTAAATATTCTGGGGGCTATGAAAATTTTGTGAAAATTGAAAATTCTGGCAGTGGCTGGCCAAAAAAAAAAAAAAAGAGTTAAAGAGGTCTCTTATGTCTCTTCTGTCTCTTACATAAAGAAGTCTCTCATTTATCTGATAAAAAAAAAATACATTAAAACAATTATACTGCGCAATATTATAATGAAATAGTTATTGGTTATTATTATTATTATGATTATTATTAAAATAACCATTTTCTATTTCAGCTATGTTACAATACAATTTATTCCTGTGATACAAAGCTAAATATTCTTCAGCCATTACTTCACTCCTCAGTGTCACATGATCCTTCAGAAATTCATCTAATATGGTGATTTGAATATTTGACAATAGGATTATCAATAGGGGTGTAACGGTACACGTATTCGTACTGTACGGTTCACGGGGCAAATTCCAAATGGAAGTGATCATCCCTATGCATTTGAAGGGCAGAGCCCTTGAAGTGGGGACTTTGGAGTGAGCAGGGTACATGCGTGCCATTATGTAGTCGTCATTTGGAATGCACTTGGCAAAGGGAGCGATGTAATTTCCTCATTATCTTCAGCTGGGATGTTCCCGTGACAATGCGGCACGGTGTCCATCAGCAGATGTCACTGTTTTACTGGCATATATGTCGTTTTATTGTTGTTAGCATAACTGTTGCAAATAAACATACATTTTATATTTTAAAAAGTTTTTAAAATATGCTATATAATATATGAAAACTAATATATATAAAACGTTTTAAAATATAAAATATATATTTTTTATGCCGGTGTACATCAGCGAATCAGTTGATGGACACCGTGCTGCGTTGTCACGGGAACATCCCAGCTGAAGATAATGAGGAAATTACATCGCTCCCTTTGCCAAGTGCATTCCAAATGACGACTACATAATGGCACGCACGTACCCTGCTCACTCCAAAGTCCCCACTTCAAGGGCTCTGCCCTTCAAAGGCATAGGGATGATCACTTCCATTTGGAATTTCCCCCGTGAACCGTACAGTACAAATACGTGTACCGTTACACCCCTAATTATCAATGCTGCAAACAGTTGTGCTGATTAATATTTTTGTGGAAACTGTGATTTTTTGGAAATTTAGAATGCATTCTAGCATGAAAATAATTGATGAATCATTGTTCGTGAAAATGTTCATATACTGTACAGATTTCACGCAAACAACCATGCGTACACACATTTATTTCACTGTCACATCCAGGCAACATGAGACTCCTCCTTACTGCCATTTTCAATACATCATTTTTTAGGTAGTATCTGTAGGCTGTGATGTACTACCCATAAGCTTGGTTATGCTGAAGCTGTGAACACAGCAAGGCATAAGAGCCCAATAGATTTACTAAAGCCACTAGCAACAGCTGAATCAAACAGTAATGACAGTACGTCTGGCCATTGTACTGCTGCTCTGCTTTGAGCGACTGTCTACATTTTTTCTCTCTTTTACACATTTTCTCTTTCCAAACATGTTGTATTGCACACATTTGCTTTTCCAAACACTTCCCATATCTTGTCATCACGCTCTCACTCTCTTTTCCACGTTCTCACTTTCTTTTTCACAAACTCTCACTGTGTTCTGGCATTCTTATTTTCCACCCATTCAGTCTCTTTTTCTCACTCTGTTCTTTTGTACTCCCACTTTTTTGGCACTTTACTGTTTTCCTCACTATTTATCCTCCTCTTTCTGTTTCTTCAGCATAAATCTCTTCCTCCAATCATGTTTCCTCTTCTTTTTCTTTTATTTCTTATCTCCCTAATCTATCTCCCTCTGATAATTAATTAGGAAGGACACACTTCATTAGCACTAAAGCCTCCACTTACTCATTTTCATTATTGCAGTGATAAGCTAAGCCTTCCCTAATAGCCTCTCAATCAGAAACTTGCTGTATCATAGCCCTGATGTGTGCCGATAGCTCCTCACAACAGACCGCTGTTTGCAACCAAAAAGTTTGATTGAAAGAGAAGGGTTCCATTTCTAAACAGGTCAAGTCAGCTCATGTTTAGTTTATACTATATGTAATTTGCAGCTTAAACTGGATATAATTGCATTAAAATGCTTGTGACAAGGCCCAGATCATGAGACCTGCAGAACAACTATATAGAGACACACGGAGACAAGAAATGTAATTATATCTGAATGAATGAATGAATGACACTTTAGTATAGGTACCAATTCTCACTATTAACTTGTTGCTTATTAGCATGCCTATAATTAACATATTGGCTGTTTATTAGTACTTATAAAGCACATATTATATGTCCCTAATCCTACCCAATAACTAAACCTAACAAATACTGTACCTTACTAACTATTAATCGAGCAAATTAGGAGTTTATTGAGGCAAAAGTCGTAGTTAATGGTTTGTTAATAGCTAGAATTGGACCTTAAAATAAAGTGTGACCAAATAAATAAATAAATAAACAAACAAATAGGGGAGACTTGGGCACGCTGTCACACATAGAAGTTGTCCCAAAGGTTAAATCTAACTAGACACATGCTAGACAGATGCTTTTCTTCTTAAAATAAAATAATTATTTCTTCCAAATACATAATTATATTATCCAAACTAAAATTCCAATGTTTACATATTTTTTATACTTAAAATTCCCATTTTTATATTAATTTTTTTTGCCACATCTGCTGATGACGGAGGAATTGAGAAAATGTATCACCCATAAATATGTCTTATCAGCCACTGAATGATGTTTTGCAGCTTTTATTTGCAATATTAATATATTTATTCCCCTTTAAGTTGTTTTTCCAAACATTAGCAACATCATGCAGCATGTGAGATGAGCCAGGAACTGCAGCTGTCAGATATATATTCATATGTGACCCAGCATGACTTTGTACTTTATATTTCTGTTTAGGCAACTTTAATGCAAGCAATATATTCCATTCACAACTATCAGCCAACTGGCAAGCAACTGTTTTATTTACTCAGCACAGCCAGTTTCTACTCACATTTGACACTTGTGGAGTGTTAATATAGGACCCTGTTTGCCCTTATTTTTTCAGTAAATTATGAAATTATATTATGCAGATTCTAATAGAAGGCTAAAACTGCTTGCTATTAATAAAAATATTTATATTTTATACTGTAAAAGCCTACTCACACTAAGCCCAATGATAATCTATCTATCTATCTATCTATCTATCTATCTATCTATATATCTATCTATCTATCTATCTATCTACCAATGTGGTTTTTAAACTTGAATGAATGT